GTGGATAGTGAGCGGCGCTATAACACATCTAGTAACTTATTCACGATGGTCGTTGCCGTCCCCCGTAGCTCAGTGGTTTCAACCACGGACTGGTAACAGCCGTTTTGCGGATTCGGGCCCTACCAGGGTCCTATGGAATACGCACTGCTGACGATTCCCGAAAGGTTGAAACGTGCGTGCAGTGCTTTTCCGGGCCTGTGCTGGCTTTGTAAGTGAGTCTAGTTGTGACGAACTGCTATCTCTAGCAGTCCACTGCTCCTGCTACTCTTCTGTTATTTTAATAACCATAGTCAGATTTGCCATGCTGGGCTCCGACACTGTACCCTCGTTATTAAGTTATTTTCCCCTCACATTGATGTATATAAAAAACAATAGACGATAGATTATCCCCTTTACATTAAGCGGCTTAGCCTGTTTCCATCGAAAGAGGAATCGATGCAAACATTGTGCTCACCAGCCCTCTCCGTTATGCAGCGGTGAGGAGAGTAGCATGTGTTCATCGAATTACTCGGTGAGTCATCTTAAACCAGACTTTCTCTATTCTACTCTCAATTTAAATCATCGTTTTATGAACCCCGCTCAGGTTAGCCTACGGCATTTATCAGGAAATCGTTTGTTTGCCCCTAATTAATCATGTTTATTGAGTACATCTCCAATCCTGCTGGTTGTTAGTTAGACTGCTAGCTGAACCGTCTATTATCCGTTGACAAACAAAAGAGCTGCCACTGTACTTTGTTTCTTGAGGGTTGGCTAAAAGGTAAAGTTATTCTCTTGGTGACACTCGCATTTTACAAATTTGGTAGGACGGGTTGATTGTTTTCTCCTCAGGATGTACTATTTTAAATCCACCAACGTGAAAAGAGTCCTTCTTGGTTGTCCCTTAACCTTTTACTTAAACACAACTGAAAATGTGAATTCATTGTAATCGCAGCTCGGCTGAGGGCATGGCATGGGGGTCAAAAGATATTAATAGAAAATTTGACGCATGGGGTGTCACGATCCATAGTTGTGTGGTCTGATTACACTCAATGTCATCAGGAGACTACTCTTTATCCTGAACACTTTCACACTTCATCACCAATGGCTAGCCGTTGCAACCCACGAATGCCCACTTTGGAACCAGCAGTATCGTCTAGGCCGACACCTTGTTGGAGGCTGTACGAGACAGACAAGGAAACCATTGCTCTAGCCGTACCAAATACGGTAATCGACTTGGTTTAATGCAAGTGTGGTGCTACGACAGCCCCGGTATCAGTGTGAAGATGAGATTCTTGATAAATGTAACTAAGTCACTAAATGTATACTTAATATCAGTCCATCAGCTTAGGCAGTCACTGGCGTAGTGGATGAGGTTAAAGGTCCTTCATGTACTATTCAGAACAGAGTAGAATTACCATGTACTCTTATGTCAATGCTACCAAAAAACCGCTCGACTCGGGTGACTGTTCAGTGACTCGAATGGCGAGTATTTCATAGCATTTGGTAGCCGTGTGCCTGCCTGCCGTGTGCCTGAAGCTCTGTCTCATAAAACTCACGATTTATGAAAGCGGTGAAGGTATAATAGGAGCAGTGTGTGAGGTACTTACGTTTGTGCAGCAGATTTTATTCTGGGTGAAACTGATCCGCGATGACAAGGTCACGCATCAGCAGGAGTTAATGAAGCGATTCTGCACGAACCGCAAACTTATGTACAAGCACATTAACGACCTACGAAAGGTAACGTGGGGTTTCCAGCACTAGTCACGGCTGATGGATGCACGCGAGCAGCAATGGAAGCGGCTTATCTCCTACGGCTTCATTACTCCCAAACTTTCTAGCAGCTAACGAACCCAAATATAATCCTCGTTTCTACTACTCTACCATCGAAGTTAGACAATATCACCTTCACTGCGGAAGCTGTTTTAAAGTAGTTGTTGCACTTGCGTATCCACAGTTCTCCTGGAGTCAACAACCTCCAACCGAAGGCTCAGCAGGCGGTAGCTAGTGCTGTAGCAGAACCACTGGTCGTTTTCTATCAGCGATGTCTAGAGGAGAATCATATTCTGCGAGTATGGAAGCTAGCGGTTATCACTCCTATCCATTAGGAAATAGCCGTACTGACCCTACCAACTGCCATCCAATAATACTACTTCCCGTACTATCCAAACTGATGGAATCAATCATCGAAGATGGGCTGATGAAGCATCTGGAAAGCCACAAATTATTATCCCCAGATCAACAAGGCATTCATCAAAAGCGTTCATGTACTACTAGCCTATTAATTGCATGTAATAGCTGGACTGAAACTGTTGATGATGGAGTAGGAGTCGATGTCATTTACCTGGACTTCTCAAAAGTGTTTGATCACTTAGACCATCGCATTCTCCTTCAGAAGTTCAGAACTACGACGTTGGCGACATAAACCCAAGTTGGATTGGCAATTTCCTACACGAACGACGGCTAGTGGTAAGAGTCCGAGAATCAATGTCTGATGCAACTGATGTGGTGTGTGGTGTACCACAAGGCTCGGTTTTTGGACCTTGTCTATTATTGGTGTTCATTAACGATTTGGCGAGATTGATTGCTTCCGATTTCCTATTTTTCGCGGATGATATCAAGTTATGGCAAAGAACCAGCGAACCGGAAGATCACGAACGGCTCTAGAGCGATCTTAACGATCAGAACTTTGTTCTCCCGCGCGTTATCGGCTCGTTAAACTGTTTTGCCTTATCTCTCAATTTCGCTTTTTGACCCAGTAAAGGTCACTAACATTCTGCACGAGCGGTTGTTGGAGTACAAGTTCTGCTTTTTTCCCAATTTTCTACTCAAGAATTTACATTGCTATTATCATCTAGGCGTCCGCAGTTGTGGAGTGAATGCTGAAATGTGACCCATTAGAGTCCAGAAAGCGTGTTTTGACTTGTCGACTCGACGTCGAACTGGTCATTTCAAAACACCCTAATATTCCAGGTAGACTAATGCCCTGTTGTGCAATTACGCCATAGACATGACTACCATACTTGCTTGGGACACTCGGATTCCAGACTAGGTGCCAAGAATATGAACTTAGTATGCTCGTACAGAGAGATCTTAATTGGTGAGAACAGGAAAAGGTACCTGCGGAAGAGGCAACCAACGTGTCCTAATGCGGCGAAGAGCATTCGGGAGGTTTGACCCCATCAATCTCCCCAATGGTACCACAATTCCTACGTGGCGTCCGTATGTCGTATGCACTATCCAAGCTTGGTAACCTTGGTTGAAGCGCGACCTTAGAGGCATTAGAGGCACGCAACAACGAACATCAACAAAGAATGTCAAGGGTCCTGCGATATTTCACTTAGCACAGAAGGTTGCAGTTGCTGAGAATTTTCAACGGACGCTACGAAAGGCTGCGCGGCAATCTCATATTAGCTTACCAAATATTGAGTGACCCCAACCACGTAGCTCTCAACTTACTGAAACAGCAACAACGCGCTGCTCAGTGGTAACTGCTTGAATTGGAGGGCACAATATAGCCGATTACAGCGTCGACGGAATTAGTTTTCCCTTCGGGTTTAACAGCCCTGGTAAGCACTCCCATTCTCAGCTGTATCCTCCCCTACCTTGGAAGTTTACAAGAAACGATTAGATGTTGCTCATAGCTCCCAGTACTTTGTTACCTCATCTATGCTATTGTGCATTATACCAATCGTGCTTTACAACAGAATTTCTCTATTAAATGGACCCAAGTAACGGCCAGATATTTATTTTCCCACGCCTTATATCAACTACCACTGCACCCCAGTATATTTTACGCTGATTTGATTTATCTAACCATTCATCTCAGTAGACGATCAGTAGATGACCCGCATATATTTTGATTTCATCGAATTCACTCCAACCATCCTACCGGACGTGTCAAGCACTTGCTTTTATCCCGTGATGAATCATTGTTCACTGTTCAAGTAATCAAAGTGGAAAAGAGTACCATCAAGATGTTGTTTGGGAAGCCTTTATGTAGGGGCAGAGATGACGCGGTTTGGTAGGGCGTACCATGTTTGGGACACCCGAAGACAGCAAAGGTTTTGTCGGTGATCTATTCGTGAGAATTGAGATCCGAACACATTTTAACCATTTTAAGTCACATTTTGAGCTACATGAACAGGAGACTAATGTTAACATTTTTCTTGTTCTAATACTTTCTTAATCGAAAAACAACGTAAACGGCTCGTGACCGCAACGGCGTATTTAATAGTGGAACCACTAATGACGGTACTACACAGTGGTGGTTTCTAAGTTTTTGAAAAGCTTACTGGAGGCTAGTAGATGGAACGCTTTGTGGACGGCCCTCAGAGTTGAACAACCCATAAATAAATACCATCGTTGAAGCGGATCCCGTTAAAACTCTTCGATAGCTTGCGACTGACTACGAAGCGTCGCAGTGACAGTTTACAATCATTTCCAGAAATGGAGTATTGGAAAATCTTGATAAGTGGGTGCCACAGGAACTGACTACACATAAGTTAGATCGGCACTTTTGATTGTATTTTACCGCTGTTTTGCGCAACAAGGACTACCCGTTTCTTGACTGGATGGTGCGTGCTTACAGAAGTAGATCTTTTATGCCAGTCGACAGCGCATTGCTTAATGACTTGGCCGCGACTAAACTCTACAATTTTTCCCAAAACTGAATATGAACAATGAACAATGATTTATAACGGGTAAAAAGCAGGTGCTGGACATGTCCCGTAGGGTGTATAGCGTGACAAAGAAGATAACGAAAGGATTATGAGCCATCAGTTCGGGCGCATACAGATGTAACTGCACTGTCGTATAAAGGAGTTTGAAATGAGAATGTACGCACACAAAGCAACAGGGGAGTGGTTATTGTTCACATCATAGGCGAGAAAAATAAAAAAGATAGCAAGGACAACGCTTACTCGTGTGCAATTATCTTGGGTCGACAGGATACAGAAATCCAGTTTCTATAGTAGTAGCGTTTATCAAATTTCGTGCAAGGCGTTTGGAGTGACTCGTTCTCGAGTAGGGTTATGGCACTATCCCCTGTCTGTTGTGCATTAGTGCCAGCATCTGGTGGTCATGAGCTATAGCACGTAGTGTAAATGTGACAGGGTATCGTCAAGGCGTTTTTTGAAAAGGGATAGGGTGGGTGCATTAATTACATGTTCCGGGAGGGCGTTCCAAGGCTGTGACACTCGAAGGGAGAAATAGTTTCGCCTACATTCTAGGCGGCTGTACTGCGTCCCCCCCCCCCCCCCCCCCCCCCCCCCCCCCCCCCCCCCCCCCCCCCCCCCCCCCCCCCCCCCCCCCCCCCCCCCCCCCCCCCCCCCCCCCCCCCCCCCCCCCCCCCCCCCCCCCCCCCCCCCCCCCCCCCCCCCCCCCCCCCCCCCCCCCCCCCCCCCCCCCCCCCCCCCCCCCCCCCCCCCCCCCCCCCCCCCCCCCCCCCCCCCCCCCCCCCCCCCCCCCCCCCCCCCCCCCCCCCCCCCCCCCCCCCCCCCCCCCCCCCCCCCCCCCCCCCCCCCCCCCCCCCCCCCCCCCCCCCCCCCCCCCCCCCCCCCCCCCCCCCCCCCCCCCCCCCCCCCCCCCCCCCCCCCCCCCCCCCCCCCCCCCCCCCCCCCCCCCCCCCCCCCCCCCCCCCCCCCCCCACCCCCCCCCCCCCCCCCCCCCCCCCCCCCCCCCCCCCCCCCCCCCCCCCCCCCCCCCCCCCCCCCCCCCCCCCCCCCCCCCCCCCCCCCCCCCCCCCCCCCCCCCCCCCCCCCCCCCCCCCCCCCCCCCCCCCCCCCCCCCCCCCCCCCCCCCCCCCCCCCCCCCCCCCCCCCCCCCCCCCCCCCCCCCCCCCCCCCCCCCCCCCCCCCCCCCCACCCCCCCCCCCCCCCCCCCCCCCCCCCCCCCCCCCCCCCCCCCCCCCCCCCCCCCCCCCCCCCCCCCCCCCCCCCCCCCCCCCCCCCCCCCCCCCCCCCCCCCCCCCCCCCCCCCCCCCCCCCCCCCCCCCCCCCCCCCCCCCCCCCCCCCCCCCCCCCCCCCCCCCCCCCCCCCCCCCCCCCCCCCCCCCCCCCCCCCCCCCCCCCCCCCCCCCCCCCCCCCCCCCCCCCCCCCCCCCCCCCCCCCCCCCCCCCCCCCCCCCCCCCCCCCCCCCCCCCCCCCCCCCCCCCCCCCCCCCCCCCCCACCCCCCCCCCCCCCCCCCCCCCCCCCCCCCACCCTTCCCCCCCCCCCCCCCCCCCCCCCCCCCCCCCCCCCCCCCCCCCTATTCCGCGTGCGGCCTTACGTACGTACTAAGCATTTCTGGTAAGATCGAAGGGTCAAACTTCCTGAAGGCTCTGCGAAGAAGACCGAGGTACTGGTTCGCTTTCTTAGCTGCCTTCTCAGTCTGCC